ACAAGCAAGCTCCACACAGAAATGCCAACTGGCTCAGCCACGTCTAGAAGCAGCGACCTTCTTATGAGGCGACAGTGCTAACCAATGAGCCACTGTGCCGCCAATTGTACAGAAGTTAATGTATTAATAATTAATAATATATAATGACTATTTAGCTTACAAATTATCATGCTCTAAATAAAAATGTAAATATATTACCTAATATAATACAACATGAAAATACTGTATATATATATATATATATATATATATATATTAGGGGTGTGATGAGATCTCGGGTTACAAAATTTCATGAGACAAAATCACGACGAGATTTCTCGCACTCAGCTGCTGTGACATTTTTGCAACTGTACGCAGCGGTGACAAAGAGGAGACAAAACAAGGACAAACGCCATCAGCTGGATAAGAGTGGGAATTACAATTAGCTACAAATTACAATAGATCACCTTCAGCATAATCTGCAAAATGACGGATCATCTTCAGATTTTCCCATCACTGCTGAAAAAAAAAAAGTATATATATACATACATACATAAATAAGATGTTTTTTTGTATATATATATTTTTGTGTAATATGCCCTGATGCAATGTGTATGGGTCAGTTTTGATTTCAAATGGATATATGACAGCTCATTTTACATCAAACAAACAGCAGCAACATTCCATGTAAAGGACGCTTTTTTCAAGTCAGTCCTTGAATAATGAATAGCCGCACAATGATTTAGGTGTTGTGTTTGGCCTGCTAGTGCCAGATGCCAGGGCATCTCCCCTGACTCCTCACTCTACTTACCAACATCAAACTAGGCAACTGGTGGCAGAAACCTGATCAGACGGGGTAAAATCAGAGGGCACCTTTCACAAGAACTGGGCAGCTTGCCCGACGGTCCACAGGAGGGGGCAAAGAATAGGGTCTGGTCGGAAACGGTGTGTGTCTGTGATGTGTGTGAAGGCGTCTTGGCACTAGCTTTTCCGGAGTCGGCACGGGAAACAGAAGGTCGAGTCCCACAATAGTCTCCCATGGGGCATCGACAATACCAGCTCAATGACCGCAGTCAACAATACTCTCAAGGCCTTTTATTCAGAGAGTTCAATGGAGCAGACACACCCAGCGGCACTTTCCTACACAAAACAAGACCCTGGCGCACACACACACGCACATACATACATATTCATACAGGCTTATATAAATGACAATATTGCTACTATGAAAGATGCTTTCATTTGTGTCTAGAATTGCTGCAAACGGTTGTTTATGGTATTTTAGTGTTGGCAAGTTAGTCATATAGAAATATATGATGGAACAAAGTAATGGTAGAAGAAATAATAGAATAGAAAAAATGACAATGAAAGATAAATCAAGATAGACTGAAGGAAGAATGATAGATATGATAGTTATCTAGATGATAGATATGATAGTAAAACAGAATAGACAGAATGATAGAAATTGACAGAACAATAGACAGCTAGAACAATAGAATAACTGAATAACAGAAAGACAAAAAGGATGGATGGATGGAATATTAAATATGGATGGATGGATCGATCAAATATTAATAATGTACGTATGAATGGATGGATGAAATATTAAATATGGATGGATGGATAGATGTATAGAGAGATAGAAAAATAAGTGGAAGGATGGGAGGATGGATGGATGGATGGATGGAATATTAAACATGTATGGATGGATAGATGAAATTAAATATGGATGGACGGACGGACGGACGGACGGACGGACGGACGGACGGACGGACGGACGGACGGACGGACGGACGGACGGACGGACGGACGGACAGACAGACAGACAGACAGACAGACAGACAGACAGACAGATAGATAAATAGATAGATAGATAGAACAATGGGTGGATGGATGGATGGATGGATGGATGGATGGATGGATGGATGGATGGATGGATGGATGGATGGATGGATGGATGGATGGATGGATGGATGGATGGATGGATGGATTGATGGATTGATGGATTGATGGATGGATGGATGGATGGATCGAAAATTAAATACAAAGGGATGGATGGATGGACAGATGGATGGAATAGTACAAATGAATGGATCGACGTATAGACGGACAAACAGACAGACAGACAGACAGACAGACAGACAGACAGACAGAAAGATAAGATAGATAGATAGATAGATAGATAGATAGATAGATAGATAGATAGATAGATAGATAGATAGATAGATAGATAGATAGATAGATAGATAGATAGATAGATAGATAGATAGATAGATAGATAGATACATAGATACATAGATAGATAGATAGATAGATAGATAGATAGATAGATGAAAAATGATGAGAGCTTCTGTTATGATACAAAATAGTGAACTGTGTTCATCAGTATATGTCAGCAGCTCTGCAACACTGCTGCTTGTTAGAATTGACATTACACACAATAAGTTAATTCACTTTGTCTTCATAGCTGTAAGATGAGACCTGAGGAACTAGTACTGATCATTTGAGAAGAAGAAAAAATGAGCTGAAAAGACATTAAGGGAAGCACTGCATAAATGAAAAGACTTTTGGAGGCTCCTTCCATTTCTCTTGAGCTGTGCTTTCACTCTGAAAATGTTTATTTGTCTAAAAAGATCTACAAACAATCACTTCACTCGACAGGAGAGAGAGAGCTTTCCAGTCAGGAGGAGATTTAATTAGGGAAATCTCATTAGGTTTAACAAAATTAAGCGTAAAACAATCCTCGGCAGGGCTCCGAGAGCGAGAGGGAGAGAAAGAAAGGGGGAATTTGGGGTTATGAGCGATTAGAGTCGGGAGGATATTGAGATAGTCACTTCCATGCTGCTGTGGGGGAAAATGGCTCTAGATACCCAGCTGTTTTCACACTCAATTAAAGCGACTTGCCTGGCTTTTACCCCCTCTGAAACGCAAAGAGTTAACCCTTCTGCATATTGGCACACACACACGCACGTTTCAAACTCGTCCTCTCTCACTCATCCACAATGTAATTTCATCCTGAGCCCACGAACCATTAAAGACACAAATTGTGTTTTCCAACAAATTCGCACTCTATAAGGACATAACAGAAAGGGCTATTAAAGCGAGGAAGCAAATTCTTAAACAACCCAGCTGGGGTGATTGCAGACGAACAGCGAGTGTCAGACAAAAAAAATCATTTTAAAATTCATGTGAAAGCCCAATTTTGTCTAAAACAGCAAGGAATAACTCTAGGAATCCAGACGAGCGATATCAGAGCAAGGAAATCACAGGTTTGCATATTTTAGACTTCATAGGTGACACTGCATATTTATCAGCCATCTCAAAAGTGTGAAAGGATTGTATGTGCTAAAATTGATTTTAAAAAAAACTATAACAAAAAAATATAATTATGAAAGACTTAAAGCATGACTACAAAGGCTGTTTGGTGCATTTGGGGGAAGGAAAAAAAAATCAACTGGAGGAAAATAGTTTGGCGACAAGCAAGGCTTTGTTCCAACACCTAGTGAGGTGCCTCGCTGCCTGCTGCCTACACAGACAGCTGCTAGCAACCTTAACCAAATCTGAACCTCAGAAATGATGGACTAAGAATGTGAATCAAGGGTTGTATCTCTTTTCAAAACAAGTGGTATCACACAAAATAACATTCTTTATATTGTGTGCCTATTCACCATTTGTTTATATTTATCTGCTATTTGCTAACCATAAATCTGTAGCTAAGCTAATAATATAATCATCTAATAAGCACAGGCATTAAACAGCTAAACAAACATTTGATAAAACTGCCAATTATTCTAAAACATATGTATTTAGCATTTTTAAATATTAAAATGTTAGTTCACCCACACATTTTAATTATGTTATTAATTACTCACCCTCATGTTGTTTCAACCCTTGAGACCTTAGTTTGTTAACACAAATTAAGACATTTTAGATGAAATCTGAAAGATCTCTGACCCTCTATAGCAGGGCTGGCCAACCCTGTTCCTGGAGAGCCACATTCCTGCAGATTTTAGTTGCAACCCAAATCAAACACACCTGCCTGTAATTATCATGTGGTGTTCAGGTCCTAATTAATTGGTTCAGGTGTGTTTGACATAGGTAGCAACTGAAATCTGCAGGAAGGTGGCTCTCCAGCAACAGGGTTGGCCACCCCTGCTCTATAGACAGGAATGGTTCTGAGATGTTCAAAGTTCGGAAAAGACACCAAAAGCATTGTCAAAAGATTCCATATGACTTCAGTAGTTTAACTATAATCCTTTAAACCTGGAAAAACATGTTAAAACAAAGTCGTTTGACTTATTCTTGTCTTCCGCGACAAATTACATTTTGCATTTACTATGATTCCCACTGAAGCCACATGGAATGTTTGAACTATGTTTAAGTTCCTTTTCTGAACTTTGAACGTCTCGTGATCTTCACTGTATATTTAAATATATGTGTATAAATATCTTATGTTCAGATGACAAGAAAAACCTCAAGCAATTGGAACAACATGAAGATGAGCTGGCTGGATGGATGGATGGATGGATGGAATATTAAAGGTATGGATGGATGGATGAAATTAAATATGGATAGATGAATGGATGGATGGATGGATGGAATATTAAACGTATGGATGGATGGATAAAAATAAATATGGATGGATGGATGGACGGACGGACAGACAAACAGATAGATAGATAGATAGATAGATAGATAGATAGATAGATAGATAATGGATGGATGGATGGATGGATGGATGGATGGATGGATGGATGGATGGATGGATGGATGGATGGATGGATGGATGAATGGATGGATGGATGGATGGATGGATTTGACTCCTTCTCTTGCAATTGAAATGGTTAAATTTGGTCAAGTCCATAAATTAACCAAGTCCATATCACACAGAAAATTGGGTTGAAATAACCCAGGTTTTTTTAATCTTGAAATATTGCCTATAAAGGCAGAGCTCACTGGCGTTTGGAACAGAGCACATGTGTTTCTGAAGAAAAACAGGAACTGTTGATATAGGAACTTACAGTTTGCTTGTTCTCAGCATCAGCGCATCTGATGTTGGAGTCTGTCCGCCGGCGCGCTGCCCTCCACACAGTCTACAACACAAGAGAAACCTTCAGTTACACCTAATGATCTGTTCACCATCATTTAACCACAGCGCCATCACAACACAACTTGTCATATGGCCAGAAGTGTTGATTTAAATTTAAGCTGCGCTGCATGCTTTGAGTACAGGGATCTTTTTATTGACGCCGCGTGATACCCGTGGGCCTGCTGACCCCACAATTTGAAAAGTAATTTGATATTGCGTGTGAAGGTATATGTATGTGTGTGTGCCCTGCTGTTCTGGCTTAATGGAGGTTGGACGTATGTGTGTGAGCTCGGGTAGGTGGGCAAACAAAGATAAAGGCAGGGGCGGCAATGGCGTCTAGCCCCCCTACGCCTCGGTCTGTCAGTACAGGTTCAAGCGAAACCTTTCTCGGGTTTCTTCCGAACTACAAAGAAAACATTTTAGGGTGCTGTAATCCCCTCCCACAGTCTCTGGAAGCCCTCCGCATGCATCCAGTCAGCAGCCCACCACCCTTCAGCCCTCATGAGACCTGATCTGCCTTCCTGTTGACGTCAAAGTGAATTAGAGCACGGCGAGCACAGCGGCTCCCTCCGGGGGGCTGGAGGCCTAATCATGCCGTTTCTCTCCAGCCTCTGAGGAAGCATTAGCAGACCACCACATCTACAGCACAGGGCCCCTCCACAAACAACCAGACACAAAAAATGCACACTTATAGGTCCCTCCAAACTGCAGAAGATTTGTGAGTTTGCCCTTCACACTCCTCATTTGAGGACCCAGAGAAAGCTGAACTTTAGGGCAAACCTGGTTCTTTACTACACAGAGCTGCTCTGTGAAATAGCTAATGCCGTCTCCACACGACCTCCTGCTCTCCCACTGAATAATGCTTCCACATATAGCAGAGGAGACTTCACACTCAGACTCCCACTGACCTGATTCCTACTGAGACTTGTGTGGCTTGGCTGCTCTCTTAAGTCTGATTCAGTGCTATTTTAGGATTACTTATATTTTTTTTAAGGTATGGAGGATATATTAGTGGCCATATTGATATGGGAAGATAAATGTTATTTTAAAACTGATCCTCATTCGTCTGACAACAAAATCATGCCGATATATTTAAGTCTAATAAATTATGTATTTCTGCTGGTTGAAGAACTTCAGATGCTTGCTGCTAACCACTTTTATATTCTTTAATTGATATTTTGATTTTGGTTTATGTTGGTTTAATGTATTTTTTTCAGGAAATAGATTTTATTTATAAAATAAAAGTTTGACATAGAAAAGAGTAGTTGATTAATAAAGTTTAGAGATCAGTTTAATCTATTCTGTAATTAAGGATAATTATAATAATAATAATATTAATAATTTTTATATTTATGTTGATTGGCTAATGGCGACGCAGTGGCACAGTAGGTAGTGCTGTCGGCCCTTAGCAAGAAAGTTGCTGGTTCGAGCCTCGGATGGGTCAGTTGGCGTTTCTGTGTGGAGTTTGCATGTTCTCCCTGCGTTTGCGTGGGTTTCCTCCGGGTGCTCCGGTTTTCCTCACAGTCCAAAGACATGCGGTTCAGGTGAATTGGGTAGGCTAAATTGTCCGTAGTGTATGAGTGTGAATGAGTGTGTGTGGATGTTTCCCAGAGATGGTTTGCGGCTAGAAGGGCATTCGCTGAGTAAAAACGTGCTGGATAAGTTGGCGGTTCATTACACTGTGGCGACCCCGAATTAATAAAGGAACTAAGCCGGAAAGAAAATAATTGAATAAATAAATGAATGATTGGCAAATATATATGCTTACAGCTTCCAAATCTTACGTTAGTGATTATTGTATTGGTCAGAAATTCCATGATGATGCGTAGCCTTTTTTAGTATTTAATGATTTGGTTTATGTTGGTTTAATGTATTTACTTTTCAGGCAGTAGATTTTGCATATAGTAGATAAAGCATATATATATATATATATATATATATATATATATATATATATATATATATATATATATATATATATAAAGTATATATATATGTGTATGTATATATATATATATATATATATATATATATATATATATATATATATATATATATATATATATATAAAGTTGTACATAGAAAAGAATAGTCAATTAAAAACATTTAGAGATCAGTTCAAACTTTCTGTAATTAAAGTTATAAATAGAAAATCAATTGTTCACTGGATGTGTTTGCCTTTGTTTTTGCAGTCATGCTAAACATTAATTTATATTTTTATTACAAATTTTTACAACAAACAAGCAAATGTTTTAATACATTCATAACTGCGTTCATGTTTTACCATTATGCTTAAAAAAATTAAAAAAAAACTCTAAAATAAAATAAAAACAATCTCATATGAAGCAAGAGATCGCGATGACATATGATGATGTGTGCAAGTGTTGTAGTGCTGTCTTAGGGGTCCATTTTAAAGCCCTTCTACTTCCCACTCTTTTCCAAGGGCCAAGGGGAAGGGGTACAAAAATAGAAATGGGAATGGGCCAAAATCAACGTAAATAAAGTAAAAAATTCAGCAAAAAAAATCTGTGAGCTGTTCTCTCAAGAATTCCCTCAACATTACAAAATAAACTCAGAAATAGTATTATAAGATAAAATCTACAAACTTTGAATTATGATATAAACTCTTTTGCTAGTTAAATCGTTAGAAATAATGTAGAACAAAGAGATTTTCTGGCTTTTCCATGTTTGTCTCACAATGGTCTCATAAATTATGTATTTGTTTACAGAATTTTGACTCTTTCTCTTGCAATTGAAAGCTAATATTTTGCAATTTTGAGTAATAGAATAATTCAAATAAACAAGAATGAACAAAAAGGCATATACGGAAGAAAAAAAAAGATGTAAATCTTTTTAGATTAATTTAAATAGATTTGCTTTACTCTTAGTTCAGACTTTCTGTGTGAGAAAAAATGTAAATGTTTAGATATTATGTTTCAAATTACTTTTTGTTTAAGCAGACATGGAACAGAAAAAAGTGCACTGATGGCATGCAAAGCTGTGCCAATTGGTGTGCCAATAGAAAGAGTTAGCTCTTATAAATATCTAGGTATTTGGATTGATGAGAGATTAGCCTTTGATATACACATCGACAAGTTATTGGAAAAGCCGAAAGTAGGTTTTTTATACCGGGCAAAAAAATGTTTTCCTTATAAGGCCAGTAAGAAATTAGTGAAGAGTACATTCTTGTCTATAATTGATTATGGTGATCATCTATTTATGCATGCAGTTGCTAGTTTACTTAAAAAACTAGATTCTGTTTGTCATGTGCTTTGTCACAGGTACAGACTCACGGACGCATCACTATATTTTTGTACGATTCCTTTGATTGGTTATCTTTAGATCAAAGGAGAAAATTACATTTGTACGTATTTACTTTAAAGGCGCCTTAGGTAAACTACCATCCTATCTCTCTAATTTGCTAACATTTCACAAAAATAACCAACACACTAGATTTGGTTCCTGTGTTTGGTTAACAGTCCCAAGAGTATTGTCAGGACTGAAATGTGCTTTTTCCTTTTATGCTTCCAGGGCTTGGAATGACCTGCAAAACCAGCTAAATCTTGAACCACTTCTGACCCCGAGTACTTTTTAAACATCTCCTGTACAACGTCTTAAAGAATACTTGTTTTTTTAAAACAAAACAGTTTTTTTATGACCTCTGACCTTTTTTATGAATGGTGATTTTGTAATTGTGTGGTATTGTTTTCTGTGAAACTTTATGCGCTGCCTGATGTCTTGACCAGGTGTCACTGAAAGAAGAGACAGTACTGTCTCAATATGATCTCCGGGATAAAATAAAAAAATAAATAAAATAAAAAAATAATAAAAAATAAAATAAATAAAATAGAATAAAAAAACTAAATAAAAACAAAAATTAAAATAAAATGAAATAAAATAAAGTTAAATTAAATAAAAAAAACTAAATAAAAAGAAAAATTTTAATAAAATGAAATAAAATAAAATAAAATAAAAATTGAAATAATAAATAAATGAATAAATGAATAAATAAATAAATAAATAAATAAATAAATAAATACATACATACATACATAAATAAAACCTGTCTGACTTTATGCTCCAAACATCCATCTTTGTATGAACAGGTCTTTTATTCTAACAAAATAAATGTTTTTGTATTAGATGTTTTGCAAGTGCCTGATTTCTTTCCAGATGGCTCTTAAAAAAGCCAATAAAAAAAAGACTTGGAGATGAATGTCAATGCTAACGGATCTTTTTCTCCTCTGTTATATAGCCGTCAATGGCTCCTTGTGTTCAATCTTGACTGTCCTATTAAAAAAAAAAGACTACACAGTCTATTACAGTCATTAGATCAACCCATTTAAACATTACTGCCAATGATGCACCAAAATAATCTTTACTTTGACCCGAGCAATGCAAGGTTTAGGTGGTAATTACCCAGAATGCCTCACCAGCATTAGCCCCCCAGCTGTTCAAAGACTGCAAGAACGACAACATTTGCTGCCAGGGGTTTCAGAACTTCCTGTTCCTATGACAACCACGGAACAATTCATATTCATATTCTCCTCTAATAAACTGTGTAACATTAGGGCGTAATTGTTTTTCTATGCAATATATGAAAACAGCCCTTTGCAGAGAGCAACGCCTGACAGCAGTCATCAGAAACGTCTGGAAGAATGACAGACATCTGGCATCACAAAACCACTAAAACGCAAGATGCTGCAGGAGAATAGGGTAATAAATGAACTCATCTTTATCACAATACTTGCCCAGTTAATTGATTATATTGAGAATTGAAAACGTTGAAAACACTTGTTGTTGTTGTTGTTGTTGTTGTTGTTGTTTTTTGTTTTTGTAATACAAGTTGGTTAGTTAAATATGCAATAATCTGCATACATTTTTTGCACTCTCAACAAACTCTCAACAAGACACCAAATCAGGTAAAATTTAAAGATTTTTTTTTTTTTAAATATTAGAGTCAAAGATTGCAAATAGTGCATCTTTTGTATCTATTCATTGTTG